TTTCTTCTAATATTTTGTCGAAGAAAAATAGGAGAAACATTGTTTCAAAATTTGAATATAATATACACAACTCCAAGATAAATGATTATTTCTGATAAATGAATATTCTTTTTTTTCGCTTTCAAGTTGTAATGACAATGCGTTGTCTACTAAAGAATATGTTATACAGGAATATATTGGCATTTATAAATGTTTGTTTTATCTCCTTCGTTCAAGCCAGTATCAGTCTAAGAGTATTGATTATATCTATATTCTTTTTGTGATAGAGAAAAACAGATCAATAATGATTGCGTGAATAATGCAATTCTAATATTTACTGTACGATACTAGATATCAAGTAGTTATGGACTACCAATCAAGAATATAAGCAATAATGATACCATAAATCATAATTAGAAGTTAAAAAACACAACATTTGATGATTCAAATGCTCAAGTGATTGATCGAAGATCGGTTACAATACAACTATTTGTTCAATACAATATATCTCCATCAGCTCGTGTATACAACTCATAGAATCGAATATTGTGACGTAGAAAAATTGTCTGATAAATAAGTGAAACATACATTAAATAAGAAAGGCATTATTTTTCTACCATCTCCACTATTTCATAATAATATAAATATGACATAATTTAAAAAAAAGATATTATAGAGGTGATGATGAAATTAAAAAAACAGTTACAAATAGAAATATTTTTTAATTCAACAGCTGCAAGTTTATTTCAAGGAAAAGACTTGACCTGCAACTTTTACATTTCGACAAAACTTCAATCGTAGTAATCATTTTTATTTTGTAATGAAATAGGTAATTATCAGATAAGGATAAATTGACGAGAAATCCACTCGATCGATTTCAGATAAGTTTAACAATCAGATCTCAAGATAATGATAACATGGAGACATTTTCTCGGTAAATTGTTATTAACCTCTACAGACTGGTTTTTCTTGTTACTACATCATTATTTTGGTGTTGTGTGGGTATGAGAAAATATCAATATTTATATCCATTTAACTGTCTCATTCACACTTTCAAATGGAACCAAAGTACACCTGATCGATATTATTTGCTGTTTTATTGTTTCGTATGATTTTGCTCAAAAAATATAAAGAATATATTACATCGCTCTTTTGCTTCTTCATTGTAGGAAGGCAACATCTGTCGATGAAACAATATAAATATATGACTCACATGCTTTGTTAAATGTTGTTGAATAATATTAAAATAAATATGTAAAAAGTCAATTATTTTTACTGAAATATTTAAACAAAGAGAGAAAGATTAAAACTCATTTGATTATTTTTATTCGTAAAAAAAGCGTCTATCGAGTATTTTATTCTATTACTCTACGATAAAATAAGAATGTTAAATAAATTTATATTTGATCCTTATGCTTCATAATAAAACTAAAACCAATTCTATATTATTTTTTATCCGATAGATAATTATGTAATCAAAGTATAGAACTGATAATTGTGAATTTTATTAGATTATGAGAATTTTTTTGTAAAATCATAGTTTTATATATGTTAATTCATATTAGATTTTATCTTTGTATTCTCTCATATTAAACCATTGAAGAAACAATCAAATATTTTTCAACATTACCGAAATTATATCATTGGAATTAATATATGCTGAACTATTTAACTAAAATACATTGAAATTCTTTGAGTAATTAATCAGACTATTATATAAATGTTATTTTCTTCTTAATATCTTTATTTTTCTTCTGCTAGAAATTGATATTAGACTATTTCTTTGCATGGAAATAATAATACCCAAACATCATTTCTTTTAAATCAACATCAGTTTTTACAAAAACAAAATAGTTTGTTACTTCCATCATATTCAAATGGATCTGTACCATTTCTGTTTCTTTGTAACACATTTCGACAAGAACTTATAACTAAATTAACTTTTTATCTTGTGAATATTTCAATTTTATTATCTGAATTGCATAATATTCACCCATCATATGTAAGCACCATTCTATTTTTGTTGACTATTATTAATAAAGAAAGATAATGGTAAGAATTATATAGCTGATTTAAATGTATTGCTCACAAATAGTTGAATATCTTATAAGAGGTTATATTTTACATTAATACGTGTAGATACCGACGAGATCAGAGTGAGTATCTACTAGTCGGATCTTTTGGCTTCTTTTTAAAAGTAAAATAAATTATATTGTAAAATTGGAGAGAAATCAATGCATAAACACAAACGAATTTACATATCCTGAGAATCTCATTTTCTAAGATATTTTTAAGAAACTGTTGCTATTGTTGTTTTTTCATTGTTTCAGCGAAAAATTATTCTTGTTTAGTTAGACGAGTTAGTATATTTATATAATGTATTTATTCAACGACATAAGTATCAAGACAATGCGGAAATACATGAAAACAATGTTCCTATAAATTCAATTACATATGATCATAGTTTTTCGTTGAACGAAGATGTACGTAACTGTTGTGTGATACTAAGTAATTTCTTGTTGACGTATAATAAATGGTGAATGTGATAGAAAATCGAAATTACATCTGTATGTACAAGCCCATGGATAATTAGTGATTTTGGTCTAATATTAATATAATGATAGAGGACTGTATTGTGTTCACGTATTGTAATATGAAACGCCGAGTGAGATGCGAAAGTTTCATGTGCATTTAATATATTTGGTTACTTGAATAGTTATCAATGTTGAAAAAGAGAATGGCGCAGTATAAAAGTGGTAACCGAACTTTTAAAGTTAAACGTACGAACTGCAAGTTGTTTACAATATAAATGTTTCGTTTCAAAATCTACGCGAGAATTCAATATAGAAAGCCCATGAAGGTTAACAGAACGAAGATATTCACGAATGAAATGTATTTTGGGTGTTATATTGTCGTGAGAACGCAATTGTTTACATAAATTGTTCTGATATGTTAACCATGAGTTTCTATTTGGATTAGCATATGTGTATCTAATAATTTCACGGTAAGTAGTATACAACAGAAATGATTAATTATTTCGTAAAATATAATTGAAAATAATCGAAGCAGACATAGTTTTTGACTTGCAGAATCAGAAATGTTTAAACGACTTAAACCTTCGTTTCTTCTTAGAAGGAGGTTCGTCTGATAAATCATAAAATGCGACGATGAAATCTATGATGTGCCTTGTTGAACAGCTTCTTTTAATACAACATTTCTAATAAGTGGGCATACACCTTAATAACAAAAGAAACCTTTTAAGTCTATATATTATGTAATAAAATTATTACTGATTTCAGTCAAATATTGAAATACGTGCTTATTCATCTAAGCTATAAGAACAATTAACTTTACTAATTTTTAACATCAATTCAGAAACTATTAGTAATAAATTTTGTATTTTGTTCACATTCAAAACAAGCATAGAATGATGAATGATAAAGCTCATCTTTCAATAAATAATATTACCTTCAAGTAAATCGTGCATTATGTCTCGTGGTAACGATTCATATGAGTGACAACTAATAACGTCTTTAACATCTTATATAATCTGACGATTATTACTAGCTATGACTTGATTGACAATCACATCATGCTTCAAACGTGTTCGAGGTGCAAATGACAGATCAGTAAAAGAATGAGTCGCTGTTTAAATGTTTTCTATAGCACAGACAGTGTAATCCAATACAATTCAATTGCGATCGAATAAGTTCTCGTCAAGCATCTAATAGATGATAAAAACAAGTTAGTTTATGTCAATCTTTTTTTGGGCCCATTGGATTCGTAATGCCAATATCATCACTATATAACTTAAGTAATGATAAATTTGATGTTTTCGTTTGATGAGAAATATTTAATTTAATGCGACGACTTTGTCGATTTGTGGGTGTGGGTTGGAATACGTCTTCTTCATCCACACCCACCCTCAAGATATTAAGTGTCCTGAAATTAACTAAACAACATTAACTTTTGTATTTATCAGTTCCTAAGTACTCCTATGCTTTTAAGCTCACAAATTTTTAGATATAAGATGAACTGAGTTGCTTGCAATGAAAATTTAGTTTATTAGATAATATCAAAATCATTTATTAAAAACAAAATTATAAAATGAATGGTATCACAGCTTTACGATTCTTTGGATATTCATCTTTAAATTTTTCAAGATAGAATCTAAATAAGAAAATTAAATTTCGATACATATATATCGTTATGATAACAGACTTATGATGATGAAGAGCACGACCAAATGCAATATTAGCCCAAACAAATATTGAAAATGCAAGTGCTGGTAATGTCCAAGCACAAATAGCATAACCTGTCCATTCTATTGATTCAGCCAGAAAATTTGCACCAGAAACATATTCAAATAGACCACCTTAAAAATATTAAAAAAAAACTAGAATTCATCTGAATGAATAGCTATTATTCTACCTCTCGGAATTTTATAACCATGTTCATTATTATCTTTTCGTAAGTTTCTTAAAATTGAATCGGCCTGAAGATTAAGAACAAAACCAGTAAAGAAAATAATACTTCCTTAATATATAAAATTATTAGAAATTTTTTTATTGAACAAAGAACTCAAACCGATTATAAAATGTAATGATAGCCAATCATTTCTTGGAAAAACATGATATGCTAATATTTCTTCGACTATTGAATAAGTATTGATACAACAATAGATAAATGCTGTTAATGTTATTGAAATTGAACTATGTTTTCCTCCACGAATTAACATTGGATAAATAAAAACTCTTATAAAAGAAAATAAATATCAATATTTTTTTTAAGAATTTAATAATACCGTTGAAAATAATGTATTAGAAAAAATATTATAAGAAGAAATTTAATTAATGATATTGATGACCAATATTGTGATAGAAGGTAGCATGGAATAATAAAACAAGGAAGTTCTTGTAAAAACCATGCTAGTCTTCCGGGTATTCCATGATTGCTCTCATTATAACGTCCATAAGGTGCTTTAATACCCAAAAAACCTTGAAAAATTACTATGAAAACTGAAGAAATAATCCATGTGTATGGACAAATATAGGTAACAAATAGTCGATCATTAAAAATGTGCTGTAACATCTGAAATGAATTAAGCAATTGATTTAGCATCTCATCTAACTGTTTACGACTTAATTTTAATTCCTTCTATAATCGACATCTGTATAATAAAAACAACATTCATTATTAATAGCATTTTTTAGAAAAGATCTGTATGAATCCTAATTTTTGATAAACTAACGCTGTTTGAAAACATTACAAAAAGTTTTTTGAGTTACCAGTATTTTTATTACAAATTAAAGCAAATAAAACATCTTAATTATCAATATGAATAAAAAACAATATGATGATGTCATCTATGACAAATGATACCCATTTCCATTCCTTATATTTATCGCCAAAAAAAACAATCCTTATTTAAAATAAAGATAAAAACCCATAGATTACATATTAAAACGAAGAAAAAAGAATGAGATTAAGCAGCTTGTTCGCCTGTAAACCAGTCAGGTACAATTCCATTTTCTAAATATTTTTCACGTATAATTGATTGAGATTCAAGTGTATCAAGAGCACCGATAATAGAACCTATATAGAAATTAAATAATATACAAATTACAGTCAGAAATAAAAAATTAAAGTTATACCTCCCAACCATGCCGTATAATTTAATTGAGATGGTGGAAGATGAAAATGAAATTGTTTTATTGCTAACTTATTTACATATGTTGAAATATTAACGAGATGAAGTAATTCTGAATTGAGTCGATGTAAAAATCCAGGCATCATTGCTGTACCACCAATAACAAGAATATTATCAGCAAATTGTCGACGAAGATCAAGAGATGACTATTAAAAGAAAAAAGTTTTTCTTATAATAAATAATATTTAAGCATTCATACTTGAATTAAAGCATCGAGTATCAATGTAGCAACTGATTTTCCATCAATATCTTGTTCAAAAAGAATTTCACAGGCGAATTCTCTATATACATATATATATTAGAATAATTAAATTCAATTGGATCTAAAATAATTATACCTAACAATGCCTGGAATATGAATAATTGTATCTGCACCTAATGAATATTCAACTGATGAAGCTTCTTTGAATGATTCATCTGAACCTAATTTAGTCTTAGCATACATTTGCGCACGCGTAAATGGAGAAACAAAACAACAACGAACTAAAATAAATATTCTTAATGTCTTTCCTTTTGTTATCTATAATTTTATATAATCAAACCTTTGATATCTTCGAGAGTATCTTCTGAAAGTTTAAGATTAACTTCGTTAAACGATTGTTTATGTCCTTGATGGATAACGAAAGCATGTTGTTCAAGTAACAACTGAATTTGTCTAAAATAAATTTTTTTTGGAAGGTTTTATCTCTTTTTCTAACTCATACTTATGAATAGCTTCACCGGCATATGATAAACTATCAAATTGAACTGCTAATGGTACACCTTCAGCCACTGGCATAATTTGAGCTTCTTTATAACCAATATCAAGTACGAGTGCTGTACTTCGACCTAATGTATATGTAGCGCCTAAATGTGATGGAACAAATGCTAAAGATGATGCCTTTGAAAAAAAAGAAAATGTTTAATAAAAATATTGTTAATTAAATAATTATTCAAGCAGACTTCAAATTGTTTTAATAAAATATCAGCCAAAACATGTCGAATACGCGTAGGTGTAATTACGGATTCAACAATGACAACACGTCGTTCTCGACAATTTGCAATATTATATCTAAACTCAATAATTGTAAATTTTGATATGATATTTATTATTGACATACTTATAATAAACTAATCGGATAAATTCAGTAAGACGATCACGTAAACTTGTTATGTCTAAATTCTCTTCAAAAACATGTTTTGTCTAAAGAATGGAAAATATTACAAATTATCATAGAATATAAGGAATACTTTTCCACGAATCGTAACTGTTGTTGGAACAATATGACGTGGCGAAGCATTACCTGCAAAGCCGCATCTAATTTTATGCATTATAACATTTCGATTTTCTAAATTCTAATCTACTTACTTTGTATATGCATGCCCGATATCAATAACCACTGCTGTTTTCTCACTAGCTGCAAGACTATCAATAAACGACGTCATTTATAAAATCTAAAATGATAATAACTACTTTCATTTTTATACACGTAATTGTTCATTTATTTCACTTATAATTAGAGAAAAGGAAGTCATCGAAAGCATTTTTATATATATTTATGAGTAAGTGCACACTTCAAAAACAATAATAATGGAACAACAACAACTAAAGTTAAAAACAAATATGATTACGTATCGTCGTTTAAATATTCAACATAAAATGAATGAAGCTAATCTCACAAAAGATCATTTATTAAATTTAAAAATCCACAAACATCGAGAAGAAATGTTCAATCGAAAAGTTGATCGTTTAAGAAAAAGTGTCGAACATTTACAACCCTATATTGATAATGATACTAATGATCAACAAACATCCACAACACCAATACATAATAAATCAAGCAAACAAATAACCAATCACCTCCCACTTATCCGATCTCGAACAAATTCAAAAGATGAAAATAATTTTCAAACATTTCTCAACCAACAAATACTTAATGAATATAAAAATCAATTAAAATATGATGAACGTAAAGCAATTCTCCTCAAAGAATTTGATGAACTTAAACATACCATCAATGATCCCCATTCAACTTTATCTGTACTTGCTGCTCTCTCTCGAGCACTTCTCTATTTAGATTCTGGAAAAAAATAAAGACAAAAAAGTTTTTTTTTTCTGCTTCACAAAACATGTTTGTATATTTCGATAAGATCTTATTAATCATAATAACAAACAAACAATATTTAATTGTTATTTTCTTTTTTTTTATACTGTTGTTATTGTCGTTGTTGTTGTCGAGATGATGGAGATGTCTGATCTATTTTAAGCCACAGATTGAGCATTAGCAGCAATACGAGGCCATAAATCGGCGCATTCTTTAGCCACTGGTCCAGTTATAGCTGAACCTTTCATTTCACCTTTGTTATTGACAATAACACCGGCATTATCTTCAAAATAGATAAATGTACCATCTTTTCGGCGAAATGGTTTACGTTGTCGAATGATGACGGCGGGCATAACTTTTTTACGTAAATCTGGTTTGCCTTTCTTTATGGTTGCTAAATAAAAAAGAAAAGAAAATATTATACATAATATGAAGTTTTATTTTAAAAACTTACAAATAATCATGTCGCCAACGCAAGCAGCTGGTAATCGATTGAGTCTTGCACCGAAACCTTTAACTGAAATAACGAATAAATTTTTTGCACCAGTATTATCAGCACAATTGATAACTGCACCGACTGGTAAACCAAGTGAAATACGGAATTTGCCACCTCCGACACCACCACGACCTCTTTTAGCCGACATGATGTTTCGTTAATATTAATCTAGAAATAAGAAGATTTATATTAAAACAAAACAAAATTCCAAATTAAAATATTTCAATATATACACATACATATGAGAGAAATATTAGTAACATATTAGCAGAAAAAAAAAACAAAAAAATATACATTGAAACCAATGGGTTTTTGTTTTTAACAGCAACAATTGCGATTAACATTATCAACAAGAAAAAAAAATCAAAGCAATAACAACAGAATGATAAAAACGAATGATATACACAGTAATACAGAAATCGAAAAATTGATGATATCACACACTTTTTATAATTCAGTATATTAACAATTATATTTGTTAATTCATTCTGAATGTCATCATTATATGTACAAGAATAATCAATTATAGACACCGAGACAAAAAAAAAGAGATTCACATATTATTAGGTGCTGTAGTGATAGAATTTGCTGTTGTTGTTATTATTGGATTTGTTAAACTTGGATTTTTTAAAATACGTTTAACTCGATAATCATAAACATAACGACAAAAAAATATATTTTGATTACCGACATTTTTAGCTGGTAGTGGACGATCATGAATAGATGAAGTATTATTATTTAATAAAGATTTCAATTGACCAATTGGTTCAGAATGTTCAAAGAGATTCGTTGATTTTTCACGTAAACAATATCTATATAAGAGAGAGAGAAATGTCTTATTCTAATAAATTCGTAATAATATTTACCGATTATATTCATTTAGATTTAATACATAACATTTGTCTTCAATACATGCTACATTAACGCAATCCCAATATTTCGAAGCTAAAAGTTCATTTCGTAAAAAACGTTCTTTAACACGTAATGGTAATTCTGCATGTTCAGGATGATAATACCAGATAATTGACATTTGAATCTCATCTAGAAAAAAAATATTTAATATTTAAAAATATAAAATATAGAAATAGATTCTACCTGATAGTGGTTCTAGCCAAAACCATTTGACTTTAGCTAAATATGGTGTTACATCCTTATGCGTACCAGTTTCAGATCGTAATATTACACAATCATTCGATTTAATAATATCTTTTTCTGTTACATGTTGAATCGATGAATAGCATTCGCGAAATACAGGTGGCTTGTCAGCCTTAAATTTTAAAATTATGTTTAATAAAAAAAATAAAAATATTAGTTACATGAATTGAAACAAGTTGTTGTTCTGATTTTCCAGATAAAATCCAATAGTTTAAAACTTTTTCTTTTTTTCTTTTATTTGGCAATGATGATGTGATTGAAGCTGGTGAATGAGATCGTTTTTTATTTATCGATGATTTCGATCGTATCGGAATAGATGATGCTGAATTTGTACGTTTTCCACGCGAACTTTTACCCGTTATTGAAACAATTGCTGTTGAATTAGCCGTAGCGGCTGAAATACTACGACGTTTAGGTGACCGTCGAGAAGATTTCTGGTCGGCCACAGGCAAATTATCGTTTGAATTCAGAATATTCGGCACGGGTGAATTAATTGTTATTTGATTAGTATTGACTTTTTTTTTTGGTGAAGTTTTATTATTAATTGACGCTATAGATGAACTAAAATAGAAAAAAGTATTATTGAATTTCTGTTTCATAAGGTTCATGATCACACTAAGTCGATATCGATTTTAACTGTATTCTGTACGGTTAATTTTCTTCGTCTTACCTATTGGATTTAGCTCCACTGCTTATCCGTCTTTTTACTGGAGAAGATTTTCTTCGCGTCGTTTTTTTTATTGTTTCATTTTGTTGATTTAAATTTGTTTTATTATTTATTGAAAGATTTAATATTTGATATTCTGTTGTCAGTGGAATTTCTTCATCTTCTCGTTGAACAACATTATTCACACTGACTGGTACAATAGTTGTTGTTTCTGGAAATTGTTCTTTAATTTTTTGTGGTAGTGGTGATGACAGCACTGCTTTTGTTTTCCTTCGATTCGAAGAATTAAGTGACGATGTTGAATTATGTATATGATGATGATGATGTGTATGTAAATGTAATGTTAAAGCTTCTTTGTCTTTATCAATTGGAACAATTGCCTTTTGTTTTGTATTGAATGTTATCGCTTTTTTTTATTTTACCTTTTGAATGTATCAAAGATGTTTTATTTGATAATGGTTGAATGAGTGATGTTGATGATTGATATGACCAAGCTAAATAAAAGAAAAGATTAAAATTACTAACAAATATTTGAAATATAATTGAGAGAAATGATAGATATATGGACAAATATTCACTTGAAATCATATATTGATAGTCTAAGAAGTAATCAGTGAAAGAAAGAAAAGGGAAATAAGAGAAAGCGAATAGAATAATAAGTGTCGAACTGTATGTGCGAAATTATTTCGCAAATCTACATACCAGTAGCTGTTTTCAATTGATATAAAAATATACTTTTCTATCTACAACAATTGAATAAGATGATAATCGAAGCGAGAAAGTATATTTAATTAAATATTATATTATTATTTTTATACACGAATATTGTATCACAGAATAATAAAATAAAAAGCAAATCTTCTTTCTATATAATAAATTCGATTACTATTTTTTAAAAAAACTCAATTGTTCACATATAACACATGAAAATGAAATGTATACATATCACATATGAATTATTGATCCATCTTACCGGGATATTGCCAACAAGGTAAAAGAGGATAAAATGAATGTATATCAAGAGGATATGCAGTTGATGGGAAAAGAAAAGCAGGTGTTGTAATATTATTTTTTATTGAATGTGATAATTCATTAGATACAATGGATGGCGCTAAAGACGAAAAAAAACAAAGATATTTTTTCTTGAAAAAAAAAGAAACTAATTAGATATGATCATACTTGGTATCTCTTCAATATTTGAATGTGATGCTAGACCTGAAGATTCATTATCTGTTGTATGATCGATTGGTTCTGAAGAATTTTCATGTGATGATAAACGACCACATAAAGCTAATTCTTGTGTCCATTTAATAAAATTATCATGTTTTTCTGTATGATATGATGGTAGAGTTGCATTTAAACGATTATGTTCCGCTAAACTAGCTTCTGTTAATATTGAATATTTTGAATTACTCAACATTGTTGTTGTTGTTGTAGTATTTGATGATCGAGCATATTCAATTTGATTTGGTAAAGTTGTTATAGATGGTATGTTGGGTTTAATAGGTTCAATAGAGGGTTGTTCTTGTGGAATATCACTTTTATTTATAACTGTACTTTTAGCACGATTTGGTCGAATAACTGTTGTTGAAGTTTTATTAGTGAACGAATAAGTATACCGACTACGTTCAATTTCATTTTGTTGCATAATCATTGCTGATGCACGTGAACTTGCTTCACGACGAACACGAGTATTTGACTCTATTTGAGCATGTTTTATATCAGATCTAGATGAAACATTTGAGATTTGACGTTTACGCTGTGGTGATTTTGTCTAGAAAAGAAAATTTATATATATATTAATAATGATTTATTTTTTTTTATTTAAGTTTTACATTTTTAGGAAGAGATTTGGTTGAATGATTTAATTTTCTTGATGGCGAAAGAATACTTGTACAATAATGAACAAGTGCTGCTGCTGTTAAACTTGAAAGACGTTTTTGTCTTGGTTGGGTTAATATTGATGAATTTTGTTCGAGATGACGTTTTGTTGGAGAAGATTTTTTTATTGATGTTTTATTTGAAATTGTGATAGTTTTTTTCTTTGATTTGGATGGAGAAATTGGTGATGCTACAGCAATTTTGGATGAACGAGTACGTTGAGGCATAATGAGAGAAAAAATGCTCGTGTTTAAAGTATTGACAATATTCACACTAATAAAGGATATTAGATATCCAAATTTTATAATGAAAAAAAGAAAATATAATAAATAACAACGACTAAGTACCATTGGACTCTCTTGTACGTCTTGAGAGAGTTTTTATGTTAAATATACAATGTTTAATTAATGAATAAAAATAATTTTAAAGTTTATTTTTAAGTATTTTATTCATAATAATACTAAATAAAGTAAAAAATTTTATTTTCGAAATTAATAATCAATCGAAAGATGTCGCTCAAAGATAATGAAGTTTAATATAAAATTGGCTGAACATAAAGTGACAAAAAAATGAAATTAATATGACCATTTGATATTATTTCAGTATATTAAACAAACATATTTCTCTACTTTAAATATCATCTTAAGTGAAAGAATTTAAGTCAAACAGTAAGGCGTTTAAATGGCAGTACTTTTCACCCTGAAGAGTATTGCTATTGTCTCATTAAGCTCATAATTTTTCGTATGACAGATAATATGATCGACATAAGTATGCAATACGTTTTCACTTTAACTATATCTTTATTCTCATCGTATTTGCGTGGATGTGACTATAATGATAAAATCCCTAGCAAAATGAAAAGAAACAATGGCTATTTTACTGATATTTGCTCTCCCTAACTCGACTTACTAGTGCGTTATGAAGAATTCTACCATCTGCTGAGCTAATTTTGTCTATAACTTATCCTTTTATCTTTTCTCACTTTTAGCTTTTCTTCGAACATCGAAATCATTCCTTTTCATCTCTACTTAATAAACTGTATTAAATGAATGTTCAGTGGTCAACATCTTATAGAATAAAAAGCTATGCCTCAAGAATAAAACATGTGTGATATTTTCAAACATTCTTCTCTGATAAAGATCATTTATTGATCCATTAATCATAATTTATGTATAATTACTCATGAATTATCACTTGTCATGAGTCAAATACTTAATAAATGAACTATAGAAAGAAAAACAAAAAATTTACATAGCGTAACCATTTATTAACAAAAAGAACAAAAACAATAAAAAGAAATATCTATTCTATTATATTGATGATTTTTTCCATTCAATTCCTTCTTCTAGAAAACACAAAATAAAAATATGATAAAATATTCAAATAATCATGATCTCACCTTCAAGTAATGCATTTGATCGACAAAAAATATTTGTATTAAAAAATTCTCCTGTTTGTTCAGATCTAATAACTAGACGAAAATCAAGTTGAGATTTTTTTAATTGATAAATGGCAATTTTATTCTTGGCATTATTTCCAATAAATGCATAAGATCTTTCATTATTGTCTACGTATTAAAAAAATATGATTATCTTTTTAGATAATTTATAATCTTATCTTACCGAATGAATTGATATTGTTCATCTGTTTAAGTTGACATTGCTTAAGGCGAGTGAGAATAAGATGAGGAAATCTAATCAAGAATATACAGTTGATTATAGCTATTTATTAGATAACATACCGTTTTGAACGAGAACAAACTTCCTCTTTGTTTATTTTGAAATAGATTGATGAGTCTTGAATAATAACATCAGTAGGATGATTATTTTTCTTTGGATATGAATAAAGAAGTGGATATGGATGAATAAATGATATATCTTGATAAGGAAGAGTAAGACGAGTAACACGTATGAAAAGATTAGAATTGTCGGAGAAAATTGATGGAAGCTAAAAGTAAAGATATACACGATTGATTTATAGAATCATAGTTAAAACTAGTAGATTTCTATTTTACATACCGCAACAGTAACATATCGACCATGCATTCCTTTAAGATATCGTCCTGAAACATTTTTCTTTGTTTTTATTCTTGTATTCACAAAATTTCCATTGAGCGGTGTATTTGTAATTTCACTTAGATAACGTACATGATAGTATGGTTCAGGTGGATTAATAAATGAAAGTGAAATATCAGATTGACATTTAAAATCCATTGGTGGCTAAATAATATATAATTATTCAGTAACGAATGAAAGATCAGCATATATTAAACTTACAGATTTGACTTGAACAATATATTGCTGTGATTTTGTATCGGTATAAATTGATGATAAATCAGACATACCTAAATAAATTCATAGTAGAATTACACTATAGTACAGTTACAGTTATTCACACTTACTCGGTGGAATATCAAAACTAGAACTTGATAATAATTCATCAAAAGATATTGTTTCTTTTTCTTCGGAAAATAGATCAAATGAAGGAAAAATATGATTTAGATCACTTGGAACTAGATGATGATAGAAGTTTTTTTTTTATAAAATTTATATACATATCCAATTCAAAGTGAAACTTACTATCAATATCAGTAATATCTATTGATAGAAGACTGTTTTCATTATTCTCTAATTTTATTGCGGTTGAATTGAAAGATATATCTTGAAAAATTGGTGATTCTTCTTTTGCCATTGATTGCTTATGTCTGTCTTGTTAACAACTAGAATAGAACCAAATCATCATATGTATATCTTGTCATGGCAAGTGAAAGAAAATGAAATGAGTATCTTTTTTTTTCTGCTCATCTTCTGAATGGTGGTGATAAACGAATAAGAGAACATGTCTATATATATTCTCACACATTTCTTCTTCTTCTTCTTTTTTTTTTATTTCTAATCATGATATACAAATGTAATTTTCTTTGAATGAAGAAAGAAAAACAAATCATACAAATATGAACAATTATTAATGTCTATTGAATTTATGAGACTTTAGATAAGTTACACTACTATAATATAATCAATTAGCCATGAGTAATGGTAGTTTTATTTTAAAGCATGAATTCAACTTTTCGAGTAGCCAGAGTTGAAAGAAACATCAGCATTGCATGGGAAAATTTTCTTTTATCTCAACACTTATGATATATTTGTCTATGTAGCTACTTCTTTTTATTCTCTTATCTTATAATTCTTGATACATCAATGTTAATTATTATCATTTTTCTTTTAAATTATAAATTACACAAATTGTTGTTTTTTTGTGTCAGTATTATCAAATCAAATTTGTATTCATTTTCATTTTTGAATTGATAAGAAACAGAAATATTTCTTAGATCTGTTATATTTCAAAATGGTCACTTCCGTTTTATTCCAATCTTATGAAATGTTTGAGAGATCATTAGATAACGATTGACAGAAACAATAGATTCACATCTATGTTTCCTAATTGTTTTTATATCAAGAGATTGAATCAGAATCATACATATCAATTCGACAGTGAGCTGATGAATACAATGTTATTTATTGAGAGCTGATTTAAATCATTCTTGAAAATTATACAAGATATATATATGTCAATACTGTTATTTTGATGCAATTTAAATTAGAATGTAGTCATATAAGAAAGCAATAGAATTTTTCATTGTATATTTTAATCATTCTTTAGATAAGAAAGTCATATGAAGAAAGCATTTACCTAATGATCGATTAAGCCAAACTAACTAACTAAAATACAATGGCATTTAGTATATGTATGTAAGACAATTATCCTATACAAAAAAATCCTTTTATCTTAAGTATTTAAGCAATTTTTTCTAGTTTAACTAAAAGAAAATTTAGACAGTAAGAACATTGAATAAAACTGAGGTAAATTTAACATGAAGTTTCTGAATATTTCTTGTATCAATTGATTATAATATTTAACGATGCCATAAATAATCCAATATCATATCTATTATAAACTTATGTGTTATAACAAAACGTTGACTTTTTGCAGCTTTGTGAAAGATTATCAATTGTAATCAAAAAAATTTCTTGATTCGCCGATAAATAATGATGATAAAATCAGATTGAAACAATTCCATTTGAAAATTGAAGTATATCTAATTGATACATATTTTTTGTAAGATTACTTACAATGATTATAGTTCTCGTTGCACCCAAAAACCAAGAGAGAAGCACACGTTCATATAAATCTGTATTCTAAATAAAGACACACCGTGAATAATAAACCATAAAAATTGTTCTGGAGTGAAAAAATTGTATGTATTGTATATTCGAACCAAAAGACACTGATACAAAGCGTTTTCACACACTGTATTTATAGTCCGAGAATTAATAAGTAGAACGTGAATGTATGCTATGAAAAGAAAACAACATCGCAATAAACATACCTTGAACTGATAAAATAAAAATGCCATAAAAGAAGCACGAAGAAAGAGAAACGTGTTAGTATTTTATTTTTATCATGCGCAAAACTGGAATCGTATACATTATATATCATATTCCTTGGTATAATCCATTAATCAACGTATACTTTCAAGTAATAGTCAATTGAGTAGTAATCGATGATGATGATAATGCAAATGCCGATACAACACAATACCTTGAAAAACATAATTATAATAACATAAAGAGATATCTTTTTGTATTTCATATCTTACATCGAATCATTTTCCCATCTAAAATATAAGCTTGTATAATATTTTTTTTTCTTTATAAAAATTTGTTCACAGACTGTATAATTGTACTTCCATCAACTGCAAAATCCCATAAACAAGCATTACTCATATGAATATTTTCATTTGTTTTAGGAATAATCATTGCAGTAATAATTGTTTTAAATGAATCTTGAATTTCAAACAATGATCGTTGACATGAATCAACAATTTGTCGAGTCCATTTATCAATAAGTTCTAATCGATATTGATTTGAATTGAGAATCTCTTCAATTATTTTTCGAATAATATCCGTCGTTTTAGTAATATCAAAATCATCTATAGACATATGAACATAAAAAAATACTTTGGCGGTCTTTTTATTTGTTTTCAACTGTTCAATAGTATGACATCTTATGAAAACGATACAAAAAAATATTTTCACGGTTGGTTGGTTTTCATTCATTGGTTGTTAATAAATCAGCTGATTGATAATTACTCACTACTGCATAGAATAATTATAGTCACCGACTTATAAATGTCTCGTCGAGTAAAGATCTTGTTTGTTTCATC